CACATTGTCCCTGTCCCTCTTCGTCCCAGGACACAGCAACAACACAATGTGAGAAAGGTGAGGTGAGTGACAGAGCCACACCATGCTGTCTACTAAAAGAAAAAAGAAAAAGAAATCACCTGTACATTTCAACAGTGCTGTTTGTCTGCCAAGTGCCATTAGCTGAAGGGTGTCATGTCTCAAAGTCAGGCGAGACAAATTTCCAGTCATTAACTCCCATTCAGGTTATATCAACCAATGACTAGCCAGCTTAATGGATGATGATTCAGAAGCTGTAGCAGAGTTGGCTCAATCAGAAATCAAACTTGGTTATTATATAGATGAAGGAGCAAGAATGTCCTGATACAAGTTACTTGATCATCAGTGCAGTGAGAGGACTTGGCTTTCAACTCCAATGAAGTAGCTGAAGACATCCCTTTACTTTTTTCTATCCACACATTTATGGAAAATAGTAAAGTTCTGAGCATGTGGTTCCAAGCACAGTACATGATGCACTGAAGGCAGTCTTCAGCACCAACCTTGGAATTCTTTGACTTAGACTTCTTCAACAGGAATCTTTCAAGGTTACTGCTATGCCCAGGTTTTAAGCCAGGGATGGGGAACTAGTGGCCTTACCAGGTGTTATTGGACTAGAACTCCCATCACCCTCAGTGATTGGTCATGTGGCTGGGGCTGATGGAAATTGGAGACCAATGATATCTCAAGGACCACACATTCTTTTCTACACACGGCATTTCTAACAGTCCTAAAAACAGAAAACATCCCCCCCATACACAAACATACAAAAAGGACTTCATTATCTTGTAATAACTGTGTTGAACCTGGTGAAGGGCCATCAAGTGACAATAATAATATCTGAATCTTCACACCTTGGAGTGAATGCAAATTTGGGATGAGCCTCTTGTAATTATATTAAAAGAGCTTAGACCCAGAGCGCTTCCCCCTTAACTTTTGGAAACACTTGCAAAGGCGTGCTTACCTCTCCTGCCCCACAGGGCATAGCTGAACGCTTCACCCTGCTGCCTCTCAAGCGGAGATTGCTTCCTTTTCACGCCCTGCCTCTTGATAAACACTGCCGTGTCATGGCAGAAACAATCACAAGTGACAGTGACTGAACTGTACAAACATGCAGACAACTGATTAAGCAAAAATAAAACAAGAATCAAATAGCTCTTCTGCATAATTCCTAATTTGCATGCATAAATGAAAAGGTGGCAAGGCTCCAGGACTCTGTGCATTTCCTAGAGCAGCCTGAATAATTTGGTTTTCTGTGCTCTTTCCTTGACAGGAATTTCAGAGTTGCCTGCCCTGCCCATGTACAAAGAGATGGGGTAGAAAAATGTAACTATCATCCCACGAATCTCGAAATCATCCCTTATTGCAGCAAACAGGCAGCATGCATAGCCAGCTGTTCTTTCACACGCTTGGTGCCAGAAGATGTAGCAAAAGGTGATGTGAATAGACAGCAGAAAGCCCATGTGCAGAATACAAATAAGTCAGTTACCAGGGTTTGGGTGACAAACTGAAACTGATTTCAAACTGGTTTGAGTGTCTTGGCTCCCATCACATTATGGGACTTTGAAATGTCATTTTGTGAGACAGCTGGGGAACGCTCTGTTAGGATGTATATGCAAAAGGCCTTCCCATTATTCCATATTAACCAACCAACCTCTTCCTTCTCCCTCCTATTGCACAGTCTCACCCACATGGATTAGATTAATCACTCCACACATGAAACATGTTCACATATTACATCAAACACAGGCACAAGCTGTTTCTACACATGTGTTGTGTGAAAGAGTGAAAACTTGTGAGGGCGATGGGGAAGGATGTCACGCGTGTGACTTCATGACGTTGTGTGTGTGATGTCAGGACGTCGGGAGTAGCTGGGGGTGGAGTCGAATGTGGCGGCTGCTTGACTTCAATGGCTGGCGGCTCTTCCTTCACCTCCTTCTGGTATCACCACCAGCCAGAGGCTGCTTCAATCCACCTTCCCCTCCATGGCAAGAGGAGGAGGAGGAGCCAGCCACTAGAGCTGAACCGTGCTTGACTCTGCACTTTGCCTCTGCACTTTTTGGACATTGGGGGGTGGCCCCATCTGAAAAATATTTGGGGGTCCAAAAGGCTCGGTTCCCAGGAGCTGGTGCCTGCTTGTTGATTTGCACAGCTCATCTATCGACTACACTGTTTCTTTCAGTGAATGTTGCAGGCAGCTCAATTTTATTTGCATAAACAGGTTATATACATTGTATGCTCATTAAATGTAGCATGTGAATATAACTCTACTGAAATAAGAGGTGGTGTGTGATATAATTTATGGTCTTTAATCACTTTGACTGTAATTATACAATGATGTTTAGAATTAGGTAAGAGCTAAACTGTACATTCACAAATATGACATGGCATGTAGCTCCTGAGAAAGGACTATTTTAGAAACCAGGTTGGGAAACTACATTTGAAGCCACTTAAGGTCAAAAACAATAACGTCCCCAGGTATAATAACTAGCATGGGACACTTATTGGAAATCAGTTTTGTCACCTCTTCCCCCCCAAACCCCAAGACAATGAGCCCAGCCACCGTTTATTCACAGTCACATTAGCACTACAGCAATGGAGATTTATGTTACTGCTTTATAAATGAACACTGTGTTTTATGAATGGACTCTGTATTTTGTGAATTACCTAAGAGCCATCAATAGGGAGCTCTAGAATCTGAGAGCTAACCAATTGGGTACTACCAAACAGTGACCCCTACTGCTGAAAGCAGGTAACCAGCAGGGAATGCTTCAGCTCAGCCTTTGCACTGTTGACTGAACATCCCCTGCTGTGCAGATAATGGAGAAAGTTCATAAATTGTATCCTTTCTGGCATCCTGGCCAACTCTGTTACGCTGGTGTAAACCCTGGTACACCAGAAGCCCAGAATAACAGCAAATAAAATCTGCTCATACGTCAGTGACTGATAAGACTTGTCAACCAGTTCTTCCAAAGTATTCCTAAATTATAAAGCTCCAAAATACAGGCCAAAAGAGAGCAGGTCTGGGAAGAGCGAGGCATACAATGGGCACCACCAGTGAAAAGGCCTTGTTCCGTGTAGCTCCTGCCCTGTCATTTGATAGGGTACCCACTTGCCCTCCTTCTTGACATGGAATACTCTCTATTGGCATTTCCAGGTCCAGTACAAAGACCATAAGAAGGGAGAGCAGGGACCTTGAAGTTCCCAACAGCTTTTAATCAAGCAAGCAAGCACGCAGGTCACCTTTGTCACAGTCAGGATGCCTATGTCCTGGCCAGGCCTGCACCCAATCTTGTTTTTGTACAATCTTGTTTGTCCTCAATAACCAAAATTATATTATCAACATATACAAGGAGAAAAGTTGTTTTCCTTCATTTGCAAAGAATTGTACAAAACAAAGTGGCACTAATAAAGAAAAGTTCCAGGGTGGCAACAGAAAGGAAACTAAAAATGCTTTTGCAGTTCTTCAAAACTATCCAGTAATATCAAGTTATAGGAAAACTGGTGCTATTAACAGTAATCCTTCTAGTTGGTTAATTGGTTCGGCAACTTCCATGCACACGACGTGTGATGCTAATTATTTCTCCCAAGAGTTAAATGCTAACTAATCAGAGGCAGCTACAGTTGCAAATGGCAACAAAATATCTGTGAAAGGAAGAGCAGGTTTGCTCAAGTATGTTCCAGGTAGAAATACTGTTTGCAATGGAGTGAGAGCAGTAGCTTACTTGCTCAAATTAACAAATAAGAAAGTTTTGAGAATTTAAATTCTGGATTAAAATTGATTACTTAATTGAGAAGGGGATTGTAACAAAAACACTGGGGCCTAATTTGAATAGTAGACTGCCTGGCATTTGGTGGGCAAACCAAAGCACTCGTCAGGAGAGCTATGAGATTCAGGTGAGGGTCAGATGCCTTGTCAATCCCAGCAAGTATATAAGAGGCCCCTTCGGCCTGCCAGTTCAGTTACTGCAAAAGTCTTTCAGTGTTAATTTAATGCATTTTTAAAAATCACCATGGTATTTAACAATAATATCTTATGTCCTTTAGAGGAGAAATTGTGAATTGCAGAATTTTAAATACCTGTCATCATCCTTGCCTTCACTCAATTTTGTTTATAACACTCTTCCATTTTCTTCTAGCTTTGAGGGTTGGGGGATGGGGAGGGGCCTCACAAGTGGAGGCCTACATGGTTTCTGAAGCGACATAGTCTAAGGATGCCCTGCCTACATGGTTTCTGAAGCAACATAGTCTAAGGATGCAGGAGTATCTCTTTGTTGTTCTGAAAGGGGTGTGATCTTTCATGAATGCTCTGCAATCTCCAACACTCCCTCTCTCTTTCCATGCTGCCCCTCGGCCATTTAACCTTACATCTGGCAGCAAAAGAGACAGACATGGGTGCTCCATTTCCCTGGTGAAGGAGGACTACACGTTCCAGAGTCTGTGCCAGGAAAATGGCCACACAGAAGCGATCCACTTAAGTATGCCACAAGGGAAATATTGGACCAAGTCTTCCTTTAGCATGTCCCAACTTTGCTAGAGATTTTCACTGAAAGGCAGAATCATGCTATTTATAAACCAGAAAGGGTTCTGGCACTCTGCATATTTTACGTTATACTTTCTGAGTGATATTACATGATATGGAAATTAATGTTCCTCTAAATTAACATATCACAGTGGAGTGATTTAGCGATTTGTCATGATTTGTCATTATGAAACCTGCCAATGCCAAGAAAGAAATTTTGGTAGTGTTAACCTCATTAAGCAAGAGACTTCTTGTACAGTGGCTATCAAGCCATGCGTTCCCTTCATGATGAGAATCCAGTCTTCTTGGATTGCAGTATACCATGTGGTGGGGAGACAGCAAGCAAAGGAAGCTGCCTAATACTGAACCAGACCACTGGTCCATTTTGCTTAACCATGTAGCTCAATATTGTACTTAGTAGTTCTTCAGGCTTTTCAGAGAGGAGGTCTCTCCCAACCTTACGTGGAGATGCCAGGCTTTGAACCTGGGGCATTCTCCATATAAGACATATGTTCTGCCACTAAGCTACAGCCTTTTCCTTGGCACCTGCAGGTGCAGGACAGCACATAATTATCTGCCACACTCTTTCCTCCTACCTCATATGCTTCATTTTGCGTCCCGTAATCGAGTACAAGGTCAAAAACATGTGGATGACGCAGGCCCCTTAAAGCAGGACTGCAGCCGGATTTAAATTCCACATGCATTTAAAATACAGTATAGCATTAGTCAAACTCGGGTCTCGGGGGTTCTTTTCATCTCACCAAGATTATCTAGCTATCTCCCATATCTAAAACCTGTTTACAGTAGAGAAATAACAACAGAGCTCAAAGTCAGCCTGCCATTGCGATTCCTTGGCCATCCTGAATGTGGTTGCCACTGGCGCTGCTAATTCATTCATTCCTTGCTCCCTTTCACGGGCATGGGAATGTCTTTTCCCACCACCACCACCTCCCCAACCTTCTTCGCATTAACATGCTGCAGCTCTAGCAATGGCAAGGGTCCTGGTGCAGACTGCCTGCCAACATTTTTATAGTGAACTGGGCAATGGTTAACAGAATCTAGACAAATAAAAAAGGGATTCTGAACATAAACAGTGTGCAGCAGGGCATGGTGTCTTTACCACCCAGAAAGCTGCGAGTTCCTTGCCAATTGAAACAGTTAACTTCTCTTGTGCAAGAGAGATGGATGTGCACACACTCTGCTTGGCAGCACACAGGGGCGTGAATAGAATAAACCCAAGACAAAGGAGGGAGGCTAATCCTCCTCGCTAGGCAAGGCAGACTATGGATTAGGGATCGCTCCTAAAAGAGGCTCATCTAATCTCCCTTTTTAAAAAGGTCCCCCCCCCCCCTTATTCCATAGCACTTGAAGAAACGTCACTTAGGCAAGTAGTATCTTTGGTGCCATGCAGCCGGGTCCTTCATACTTTCTAGTCCTGTGGTTGCTGGTTCAATTCAGGATGGAACTTTGCCAGCAGGAGAAGGGAGGCTGTCTTGTTAGGACACATGGTAGAGTAAGTGCTTTGAACAAAAGAGCATACAAAAGAGCCTGGCTGGATCACGCCACTGGCTCATCTGGCTCAGCAACTTGTTCTCACAGTAGCCAACCAGATGCCTTGTGATTCACCTCATTTGGTATAGAGAAGCTTACTGCCTCTCACAGAGGAGGTAGAATAGCAGCCATTGTGGCTTGCAGTCACATCCCCCCCAACATTTCTCCAATGCAAATAGGGGCATCGTTTCTACACCAGGAAGCTTCCACCGTGTTTGATCTCACTGAACACACAGGCATCACATACGCATCTACATCAGTAACCTGGTACCAATTGCAACCTCCACCACCGAACCTATGTCAGAGGATTGTTGCAAAGAAAAATGCACAAGGGAAGGGATTGTGTACAATGCCTTCCACAAATAAATAGAATGAAATAAATTTTTAGCTCTAAGCTGCCTTGAGTCCCTTGTCCGGGAAAAAGGTGGGATATTGTAGCAGTAGAAATAATAATGGAAACTCTGAGAATGCTCAGGAACATACCAGAGAGTAAATCCTATTGAACTCAGTGGGACCTCTGAGTAAAAATGCTTAGGAGTGCAGTGTAAGGCTGCCCAGTCTTTACCCAGTTACCTGGGAGTAAGTTGCATTGAATACAGTGGGATTCTGAGCAGCCAGTGTAAGGGTCCATTTCCAATAATCACCACTCCCTGTATTTCCTAAGAAACGGTTGGCTGCTGAAGCATTGCAATTAAAGAATTTAAAGTGGATTGGTGACCCTTTCCTTCAAAATTATAGGAAGGGCTTCATATGCCAGTGTCACCATTTCCTTCATTTGGTGCAGGTATTTTATTTTCAGGATAACGGTTGCCATATGTCCTCTTTTTCCAGGACACAGCCTCTTTTTCATGGGTATGTAAAATGAGAGTCGTCACAGCAATCCATAGTTAAAAGTAGAAGTGGGCAAATGTGTCCTCATTTTTGCTCTTCAAAATATGGCAACCCTAAACAGGACTCTGATTTTCTACCTACACACACACAACTTTTAATTGTTCTCTGAGATGTGACGGGGAGGAAAAAGGAAAACAGGGACATTCTGGGATCAAATCAGAAACCGGGACAACTTCTGTAATTCTGGAACTGTCCCTGGAAAATAGGGGCACTATGCAGTCACTGATAGCCTTATCTTCCATGAATTTGTCTAATCCTCTTTCAATCCATCCAAGTCTGTAACCATCACTACATTTTGTGGGAGTGAATTCCATAGTATGCCCTGTGTGAAGAAGTGATTCCTTTTTCCTGTGTCAAATCTTCCAACATTCAGCTTCACTGAATGGCATTGAATTCTAATATTATGCAATTCAAGACCTTGGGCATGCAAGGTTCAGTCCTGAACATCTCTAGGTAATAAGTGTCAGGAGCTTGTCCTACACTCGAGTAGGACCCTGGCAGAGACACATGCCTGACTGGCATGTTCCCTCCCTCCTGGTCATTCATTCGGGAGCTTCAAAAGCTTTCTTCTGCCTGAAGATCACAGCGACCGATGCCAACAGACACCGGCACACTTAGGGAGTCTGCGCAGTTCGCGTGACAGACCTCAGCTTTATGTACGTATAAAACACACGGAACACTGCAACATGGCTCCCTCTCTCTCTAGCATCAGACAGCAAAGAGAAAAAGAACAAAGGACAATAGTCCCACTTCATGGAACACAGTAACACAAACATCCTGTCTCCGTCACTTCCCACTCTGTGGAGTCAAAATATATACCGTCATGTGATAGACAAAAATCCCATGACTGCAATCAGGAAGCAGGAATTCTAACAGGCTTCCATAATGAGAAAATGTCTTCTGGAAACTCTGGAGAGCTGCTAGTCATCAGAGTAGATGGATCAGTGGTCAGACCTGGCATAAAACAACTTTTTATTGACTCTGATGGCAGTACTGAAGTGGGTGTGAGCACAGGCCATTGACTGAGTTCATTTGGCAACTGATAATGGTAAGTAATTTTTTGGTGATAAGAGGCAATGATATTTAACTTAAGATGCCTGACTATATACATGCTAGTCAGATTGTTAAACATAATGCATAAATCTTTGGCTAACAGATAAGGTGTAGAACAGGTTCAGGGTAAGCAAATTTTTATCACTCTTCTTTTGGTGATTGATTGAGTCACTTCATTTATGATTATACACCTGCATTTAATACATATAGAAAATAGCATATAACCTACACCACATATGTCAATGGTATGGCACTGCATGTTTACTCAGAATATAGATTTATATCTATATATCTATAGCTGTATCTGGGAATCTGGAATCTAACCTGCTTTCCTAGTTTGTATTTGTACAACACACTAAGATGATCTATGCACTGATTACCTGCTATTTTTTCTAAAGAAGGGCAGAATGCCTTCTCTGTAGGAATCTCACCATGTGTAAAGTGATCCTGGCAGACCAGATTTTGCATCAAAAGCCACTCCACCCCACCCACCCTAGTTCAAGATTTACAATTGTCATTTTTTAAACAACATAAAAATAAATGGATTAAGCACTGCCATAAATGCTTTTATCAGCAACGTGACAATTTCTGAATGATGGCCACTTAGGAAAAAAGATAACGATGAACAGAAGGCTTGAGATAAAAGATAAGGCAGCAAATGTTTCCATTAAAATGAATACACACACCAATCTTTAAAAGAAAAGCCTGTCTGTTCAACATGCACCAATAAACACCTAATGAATCCTGATTCCTAGATTTCATGGCTACATGCACATACTCAGGTCTGATTACCTATGCTGACACTTTAGTTTATATATTTAATTAGCATAAGATCTTTCTAGCTGTGGCTCCTTCCCCCACCCCTTATCTCTATTATCCAAATGTGCAAAAGACATTTAGAGCAGATTGGTAACAACCAAAGGAGCGGTGTTGCATGAATGATTAGAGAAAAAAACGTATTTTCCTTTTCCTTTTTTTTTTTTTTACAAAAAATGCTAGTTGCTAAAGGAAGGAAACAAAAAAAATTAAAAAGAGGAAAAGGTGTTTTGTCCATGTAAACAACACATTCATTAAAATGGAAAGTGACTGTCTAATTTGGATTGGAAATTTTGAACTTGCAGATCTGAGAATATGCAAGATTGAGGGGTGTGGTGGTGAGGGGAAGAGAAGACATATTTTGCTTTGATTATCAGGTCTAAATCCACACAGTCTGTTATTGTTCCATCTTATTTGGCTGAAGGGAATGTATGACTGAGAACATACTTTGTGACTTGACATATTACATACTTAAATCCCTTGATTTGCATTAGGTAACCCTGGAACACACGACTGCAAGTTACTGCTGACTTTGATATGCTGCCTCTATATCTCCACCAAGGCCAGCAAAGGCTTCCAACTATTATCAAATGTCCTTGGCAAATGTGAAAGTACATTTTACATGTACTCAAGCAGGCAATTTTTTCCCTATAAAGTAATGACAGATTTTGGACTAATGATAGTCATTGTCTTTATTTTCATACAAACTTTCAATGACTTTGTTTGTCGAGCTATTTCTCTTATCTTTTTCTAAACAGAAAGGTGGGGGGAATCTTTATGGAAGCAGACAGAAATCTCTGTGCTCTGTCTAAAGAGTTGTTGTCTCTAGGAAGTAAAATACAGACTAGGAATTCAAAGCAATAAAAGGTATGTTAGAAATGTTCCATTATGTGGCATTTCACAAAAGAAGCCATTATATTTAGTCATTTGGGATCAATAGCATACCTCAGTTCTGTTCTCATTTATTAGGACAAACTGAATCACTAGTCCATAGTTAAGGTGCATCCTCATGAGTTGTTGGCTAATTAAACCAAACCAATGGTGCCCATTCTAGTCTTCTGAGGATGACCTCTATGCAAAAGCCATCAACACTTTCAACACTTGCAGGTATTTCTCACGTAGACAGAACTTGCACATGTACATCTTTTATCTCTCTTGAGCATGCAGAAGTTGGAGCCAACAAATGTAATTCTAACAGGCTCCCTCCATGCTTTTACTGCT